TCAAATATGTTATCAGAGACAAACTTACTGGAGCTGTACGAAAACTTTTTACGGGTTTTTCGAGCTCTAGCTCCTTGAGGTCCTCATAGTTACCAGGGTATAAATATTTTGAGTTTCCCTGATAGTGGACTCCAGTAAAAGCTTGCCAAGGTCCTGAGTCTTGTTCCACTATGATTGACGCAACACCATTGGGAAAGTAGGGTGTTAAGTCATCACAACTTGCGCTGAAATTCTGTCCAAAAAAAATCGATATTTTCCAATAGAGAAACATTTCTGGCTTTGATAAATCATGCGCACAATTTTTTTATGGTTTATCATTTGTTACAGGCATAAGCCAACCCTGGAGTTGGATGGATACATTAGATATGTAGATGACATGTTCTTCAAGCTTTATCTGCAACTACTTATCTACTGTTATACCTCCGTACGTCCTCCAAAACTGGGATTATCGAACAATTGTAGTTTTGTTCCCTGCAATGTAAATTAAAAGGGAAACAGGAATTGAAGTGGTCGTTGAATTTGCACAAACGATCCTGCTAGATCAAATATAACATCATCATGAAATGACCTGAGCAAGTCTCTTTAATTCATTCAAGTTTGATATTTGGCGAAAATAATTGCCTTAGGTGATGCAAGTACATTTTGTTTACAAGGGAAACCTAGATAGATATGCGCGTTATTTCAATTCGATTAAGCTACATGTAAAATTAAACACTTACGCAGATTAATCCCAGCGATGTACAAGATTTGTAATACATTTTAAAGGCATTGCGATCTGTCATTCAGGACACTGAGAAACTTATTTTGGATCAACCAATATTTCAATCACGGAAAACTTGTCTAAATTATAACCGGTTTAACCTGTAATACGAACTATCAAATAAACAACTGAGATCATCGAAAAAAAGCTATTGGATGCTAAGGATACGCTTGAAAGGTCACTTAATCAGAGAGCTGTTTTCTTTTACTAATGATTATAACATGGAATTAAGGACACCTTTTTAAGTTGACGACCCTTTCATCCCTTGGTAAATGTATTTTGAATGTGAATTCTTTTGCTGAACTATTTTTAATATTTGTTATGTAAGAGGATAGTGTTAGGGTTACATTTGTCAAGTATTCCACGCAAGCAAAGCTCTTGATGGGCAAACTGAGAAAAGAACAAACTTCTGAATAAGTGTTTCAGCATCGTTAATAACTTGGTTACGTTCTGAAATTCCAGAATTTTCTAGTCTGTAATTTTGCAATAATCTAATAGGAGAAGATCAACTATTTTGATCAAAACTTGCGTTGTAAAGATTACCTTGACTGAAAGAACTCTAAAAAAAGTCTCGAGGATTTTTAGGTCTCAATTTGTGACTTAGCTCGAGTCACGGAGAAATCCAGAATGATGGTAACCATCCACCCCCGCAGAATAGTAAACGCATATCTCAGGCGTTCTACAAAACCAGTACAAAGTAAAATCCTGCGTTCATTAAATATCTAGTTGCAAAATTCATCAAATTTAGTCGCTGCGATTAGAATCTTTCTTTGCCTACGCAAGCCAAATTCGCCTATTTTCTGTTCCTATGTCACGTTTCGCCTCACCCTCAATAAATGTTTGCATTTTGAACGCGATGATCTTTGTTTACAAGGTTTTCTCCCGCTTACATCTGATA